CCTTGGGCTCAATCCACCCACCTCAAGTCACTCAGCACCATTGGCCACGTACCCCCTGTGACATGTCCTCTCTCCATACCACCAAGCTCTAGAAGGAGCCACGTACCCCATTCATCTACGCCTAGAGGCCTCTATAAAAGGACACTTTGTTTCCAGATTGAGGTAAGCAAAAAATTCTCATGCCTAGACTCGTGAACTCTTGCTATGATTTGCGCAGATCTTCTTTCTCAAATTCAGTCCCTCATCTTTCTTTTTTAGGTCATATTCCTATTCCCTCAACCCACTCACTAACTTGAGCATCATAAAGTGTCCCCGCTAACGTCGGTCGGCAGACCCTTTTTGCAGGAGATGACCAGAGTTGACATCATTAGAGAAGTTCAATCTGAAAGGTGGCCGCCGACCGAATCTGGTGCTAAACATTAAAAAAATACTCGACGTCGGCTACAACCCGACATCAAAAATTATAATATGAAGTATGAATGCGGACCTCTCGGTCCCAATTTACGAAAATCAATTATGGTACAGTTTGGAGCCAATGATTTTGGAAAAGACGGGCAGTTGAAAAGTTACATTGTTGAGAGCTTCTGTGGCATAGGGGTAGTGTTAACCTTATAAACTAAAGGTTGCCAGTGCCATCCTTGCTAGGAGCTATTTTCAAGATTTTTCATCTTGAGACATCATCTTTGGACTTTCCCCTAATATGATTAGTTGGTTAATTACTTATTATTCTGTTCTACAGTAGAATTTGATTAATCGAACATCTATGTATCATAATTTGGATTGTTAGACTTTTTAATATTTAGCGGGTTTCGATAAATCAATTCCTTGGAAGATGAATTTTACAATACTTTAAAATATTTGTGCTTTAGTTTTTCTTTTATGGTACGAGTTGAAGTTATACATTTTGCATTATAGTACAACTTCAGGTTGTACCTATACTCTCTTGTACCATAACATAAAGACACAACTTTAGTTTGTACTAAAACATAGAGATACAAAATCGCTTATGGTACAACTTCAAATTGTACTTTAAAACACCAATCCTTTAAAACACAGTAGAAGTGATTTTCCTTGGAGCTGTTATCCATTTTCTTCCAATCGGTAACTATAAAATTTTCTTATGGAACGATGCGTCATAGAACTTTTGCAATATGTACTTTGTTTCCAGATTGAGGTAAGCAAAAAATTATCATGCTTAGACTCGTGAACTCTTACTATGATTTGCGCAGATATGCATTCTCAAATTCATTCCCTCATCTTTCTTTTTGGGGTCATATTCCTATCCCCTCAACCCACTCACTAATTTGAGGATCGTAGAGAGTCCCTGCTAAAGTCGGTCGGTAGACCCTTTTTGCAGGAGACGACTAGAGTTGACATCACAAGAGAAGTTCGATGTGAAAGGTGGCCGCCGACCAACTCTGGTGCCAAACATAAAAAAATTCGACGTCGGCTACAACCCCGACATCAACAATTATAATATGAAGTATGAGTGCGGACCTCTCAGTCCCAATTTTAGAAAATTGATTATCGAGTGGGTACCCGTACCACTAGAAGGCTTATCGGACTTTTCTCAGTTTGGAGCCCATGATTTTGGAAAAGACGGGCAGTTGTAAAGTTACATTGTTGAGAGCTTCTGTAGCATAGTGGTAGTGTTAGCCTCATAAGCTAAAGGTTGCCAGTGCGATCCTCGCTAGGAGCTATTTTCAAGATTTTTCATCTTGAGACATCATCTTTGAACTTTCCCCTAATATGATTAGTTGGTTAATTACTTATTATTCTGTTCTACATTAGAATTTGATTAATCGAACATCTATGTATCATAATTTGGATTGTTACACTTTTTAACATTTAGCGGGTTTCGATAAATCAATTCCTTGGAAGATGAATTTTACAATGTTGTAAAACATTTGTGCTTGAGTTTTTCTTTTATGGTAGAAGTTAAAGTTATACCTTTTACATTATAGTACACCTTCAGGTTGTACATATACTCTCTTGTACCATAACATAAAGACACAACTTTAGTTTATACTATAACATAGAGATACAAAATCCCTTATGGTACAACTTCGAATTGTACTTTAAAACACCAATCCTTTAAAACACAGTAGAAGTGATTTTCCTTGGAACTGTTATCCATTTTCTTCCGGCCGGTAACTATAAACTTTTCTTATGGAACGATGCGTCATAAAACTTTTGTAATATGTGGCTTAATAATAAAATCAAGTTGTTGAAAGTAGGGTAATGTCTATTTTTATCCAAATCTTTTTTTCATATTCTTTTATATTATTCAAACCTATTAAAATGCTATTAATTAGACAAACCTTTTGTAATGCATCATAATATTAGCCATTTTTACGTTATCGTTAATAATTTTGTAACTTTTTTTTTAGTTAAAATACTAAATTTTTGGAATGTTGGCATTCATGTGTCTCTTCCAAGTCAATATCATGTTGCAAATCAATATTACTAACAAAATTCCTAACTAAGAGTTAACATTTGGCTAATTTTTAGTATTTCGATAGGTTTTGATAATATAAATAAACTGAAAATGGTTTGGATATAAAATAGACATTACCCTTGAAAGTATCATTAAAATTTTATGTAGAAACTTATATTACGAAACATTTGTTTCGATAATATGATGAATATTGTAGTTAAACTTTGTAGCTAAACTTTAAAATATAAAGAAATCGAAAAAGATTGAGATACTAATACATGTACACATTCAGAATCGTAAAAAAAATCAGATAGACATACAAATAAATCGAAAATGATTGATATGCTTCGTAAAGCGCCAGCTAATGTACACACCCGCATGGGATTACAAAACAATAATGAACAGTAATTAACGCCAACTAATGTACACACCCGCATGGGATTACAAAACAATAATGAACAGTAATTAAGCTTTGTTATGGTAAATAAAGAAGTGATCCGTTTTTCTCGTATGCAACAGTGGCCCGCAATTTGGGTTAGTTGTGCTTTTAATTAATTAATAACTAGTTTTTTGGCCCGCGCTTTGCAGCGGTAAGAAGCTAATTTAATTTTTAAAATTTACTCATTTATTTAATAATTGATTTGAAATAAAAAAATTCACATAAAATATCTCCATAAGTCTTATGTAGTGTGTGGATCAGTAAGAATGAATTACGTCATTAGTTTGTTAAAGTGATACATAAGCTTAACATAATGTATATGTAATGTACAAATTTTTCATAGAACAATGTTATGTACGTCATTCATAATTTGTGATCTAATAATAAAATCAAGCTACTAAAAGTTACATTTGATTAATTTGTTATGTAAAATTGAGTGAGCTTATAGAACCTTTGCCTACTACAAATTGATAAAATAACGAATATTTCAGTTAATAACAAAGAAAATAAATTACAGAAAGTATCAAATTTGATTAAACTAATACATACAATATAAATGACCTTACACAAACTTTTTATTTTTTAATTGATGAGATTGCAGTTAATAACAAAGAAAATGAATTACAAAAAGAATCAAATTTGATTAAACTAATACATACAAAATAAATGACCTTACACAAACTTGTATTTTTTAATTGATGAGATTGCCAATAGTTTATTTAATAATAAAGGAATTTTCATTTAAGCGTGGACTAAAAAAGATTTAAACAATACGTATGTCTAATTGATACATAAGAAATAATTATCCGTTCATATGTTTTGTGTAGTGTTTTAATCATTATAGAATATGGAAGAGTTATATAATATGTTTGTTAAAATGATTTATAAGAAATAACTATCCCCCATAAGTTTTACATAAGTAATGTAATCTAATTTTCATAACTATTACATCAAACCCTTGTGAGCAGTACCGTTAATAATCGACCCATTTATAATGGAGCTTCTATCGTTGAGAGATGCGATGGATTGGTGCTTAACCGGGGCATTTCCTCTGTTTATTTCTGTGGTGATTCAAAATTGGTGATCCGGCGAGTGACGGAGAATGATGTACAACATGATCGTGGAGGAGCAATTCTTGAGGAAGTTCAGTTGCTGAAAGCTTTGTTTGCGTTTATTCGTTTTGTTTTTTCTCCTCGTAGAACTAACAGGGCTGCCCATTGCGTGGCGAAAACGGCTCTTGCATCGATGAATCAGCATTTGGCTGATTTCCGCTATTTATTTTTCAACTCCCTGTGATTCCCTATCTATTAACTATCTATCTCAGTAAAAAAAACTCTACCGTACCAGTCGGTACAATAAAAAATAATGAATACCGGACCCAAATCGGTAGGTGAATATGGAAAGGTTGAACCACGATTTTAGTACAAAATACTCCATCACCTTTTATCCAATATGAACTTCGTTGCGATTTTATAATTATTGGAAAAGAGTACAAACAACTAACTATATATGTTCTACCAAAAAAAACTAACTATATATGAAAAATGGTTTACCATGAGATTGAGTATAGGGGATAAAACCCCCTTATGAACAGTACCGGGGTTAATTATTCTCCTATTTTGTCGTGTGGAACAGTAACCTCTCAATTACGGCAATCTTGCGGCTTTAATATATTAATAATTAATTAATTAATATGTTATTCAAACACTTGTCACCTAAGTCGTATACTAGTGAATTACATCAATTTACAACTTCATCTTCTCTGTTGATTTTGAATTTTCTTACGCATTCTCACTAAGGTATCTTTCATAATTTATAAAAGCATTATAATTTAGAACAGATATCACTAGCCGATAAGAGGAGATTACACCTGCAGCAGCAGCTATAAATAGCAAAAACACTTGGCTTGGGGAACAAATACACAGACATATTGCAACCGCGGAACAGAACCAAACGCGAACTTGTGCAAGCCAAGTACAGAGTCCGGGATAGTTCAGAAAACGAAAAGAAGCAACCAAAACGTGAGGCTACCTGGACTTTTTTTGTTTTTTTTGGTGTGAACTATCTGGACTTTCTATATACATACATGCATAAATACATAAATCTAGACACAACACTAGCACTCTAGTAAAAAAAGGAGTCCAAGCAGCAGTCGTAATGCCTTCTACTAAACTCCAACACGCTGCCGTACGTACGATCTGCTACACCAACAAACAAAGGCTCCGAATCCGGGCTGAACGATATCCCGACGATCTCCCCAAACAGATTAATCTCCTGGCACTTCACATACCCAGATTCCACATCAAACACGTGCACGAAATCAGCAGGCTCTTGCATTGCCAGAAACCGCCCGTCAGACGTGAACTTTAGTCCCCTTATGGCCCCCATGTTTCCTTTCAGCACAGCCAGAGATGTGGAAGGATTACTGATATCCCATAGCCTGCATGTGGTGTCCTGGTTGCCCGTAGCCAAAATCCGGCCATCCGGATGCCATGCTGGAGAGAAGGAATAGTCCAAGTGTCCTTTGAGGGTAGCAGCTACCTTCCCAGACTGCGAATCAGCAAGCAAGCACTCTACGCTATCGCCAAGGACCGCTACCAGCTTCCCGTCAGGGCTAGCTGATGTGCTCTGTTAGAGGGGACAACCATTTCAACTCGGAAACTACTCTCGAGTTTGTTCAAATGAGAGATTGCATTGCTCAAGGTAGGAGGAGGAGAGGAGACTTACATTTACGGACCAATCAAAGGAGAACTGGTTTGTGCAGGCAAAACTCACGGCATCGAAAACTCTAATCTTTGCATCATTATTTGCTGCCATAATCCTCATTGAGCCGCTGCATGCAGATAGAAGAGAAGGCATAAGGAATTCAGATTTCACCTAACTAGGCAAAATGGGAAATTTTGGAGTGTCAGATGCATATAGAATAGTCTCCACCTGGGGCTGTTGTAGATATCCATCGCATTGGTGATGGCATTTTCATTTGATGTCAGCTTGGTGCAGAATGCAGCTCCAGGATGATCAAGATACTGGACAATGAGACACCCAATTAGGCAAACAGCAGTACACTGGCGACAAAAAACTAAGAAAAAAAAACATAAGAAAAACAAAGCTATGGATCAATGTCCAAACCTTGAATATAAGCTCTCCTTGAAAGCCACCGGCCACCAATATGTTGTCTTTTACAGCCATAGAGCTTATTTTCACTCGGGAAAGTGATTGTGTGAACAACCCTGGACGTTTCTGCGTACAAAACAATTGCCAGTAAAATTAACCCTTTTTCAGGATCGGAAAGTTGATAGAATTAACCTAAACTGCTCCCAGTAGTTGTACCAAGGTCGGAACCACTGGTTTGGCCACATTGAGGACTTCTTTCCCTTTTCTTAGCAAGACAGACCAATGCATCACGGAATAGTCTCCCACTAGGTAGATATCATGCTTCGATGTAGCCCACAACAGATTCCTCAGCTGGACATTACTATAGAAAAACACAATTGCCAAACACCTCAGTGACAGCATTCAACACCAGAAATAACATATCCACAACTGTTTGCCCCAAGCCAAATCACAGCGAGACTACCAACATAACAACAGTAGCCCTTAAAAAGATAAAAATAGAATCGCACAGACTACACACAGGAAGAAGAGTGATAAGCTTATCACGGCCATGGAAATGGATATATGGAAACCTCAACTGGTTAGTCCAGTGTTATTGTGAGGATGATAGTATTAGCCACTCTCTAAGTTCTACCTTGGGGCCAACAATCATCCAATAAAAAGTGGATATATGGATGCATTTAGTTGCGAAGAGAAGACATCAAGCACGAATATGTTTTTTTATAGTCTTCTTCTAGCAAAGTGCGGAGTCCAAGACTAATAAAAAAAACTAGCACTTGCAAGAAAGATCGTAGATTAAAGGAATAAACTAAGTCGACCAAACAAGAAAGCTCCCTTCGCTCCAAACTATCTGAACTTTAAACAAGAAAACCAAAAGGAATGATTTGGAGGTCTCCTTGAGTTGTCAAATATTTTCCTATCATACCATAGAAATATCATATCCTTAATCCCGACAGCTGCTCACATATTACTTCCAGCCTGCTTATAATGCTGAAATAGAGAGATGAAGTTCTAAATGCCACAGATGGGTTAAACCACAGATAGATTCAACATGCAATGGTTATAGTATTATACACGAAAGAACTTACAATGCATTATAAATATATAGAATCAAGGAAACAGATTAAAAGTATGTGCTACTGCATGAAAGTACATACAACTCGGGTGGTAGAGGCAACAGAGAAAAACATATGCAACTGAAAGAAGGATTCTTCCAGCACAAAGAAGATTGTCAACATGAAAGGTTAAGAATCATGGACAAAAGAGTCAGTTGATTAGGAATGCATGTAAATCCTCCGGCTGCCACATCAACAAATCTTTTAGTCAATAGGATGCATTCTCAGTAAACAGAGATTCGGAAACTTTATAGGAGCATGATAATTTGATGTGGGCAAGTAGTGCATCCTAATATGGCAAACTACGTAAGAGCCATCAAAAACATCTTGCTTGAAGCAAAACCCTGGCTTCAGTTTTAAGTGGAAACTCTGGTAATGCGGATTCATCCCCAAATCTAAGTGTGGAATTCTTCAACCTCAGCACGTCCATAACATTGAAGCTTGAGACGGTGTTAAACATGGCAGGGATATGTAAAACCATGACTGACATATGAAATATCAATGTTTGAAAGCACACAGAACTCAACTAAATTGGCTAATCTGAATTAAATTTTAAGGATTTTGGAACTAAATTCATAGATAACCAGCTTGAAGCCAGGAAGAGCAATGTGACTGGTGGCCATACTGAAGTAAAACCAAATCTGGAACTTTGCGGTCAGCGCATCGGGCATCATAAAAATTAAGAAAATTGAAAGACTAACATAACAGAGATTATTTGAACTAGGTCATACCTCTAACATGTCAGGCAGTCTATATTAAAAAATATAAGGGTAACGAGAGACTGATACATAGAGTCGCATGACCTGCAAAATCTTGTGAAGAATGAGATGCATACCAATTGAATGCAACGACACTGATGTAGAAAAAATGCAGTGCCAAGTCCCATAAGACCTTATGGCGGCAGCCTAAAAGCATTTTCAAGATCCTTAATTGAGAATTATTAACTCAAAGCGTGCTAAATTCCGATCGAACATCAAATAAATCCGAATAAAAGTGGAATAAAATGCTCAAAAACCAAGAAAAAATTACGAGTAGGCAATTTAAGTTTAAAAAAACTAAAGAAAGGAAGCGAAACAAAAGGAAAAACCGAAGAATAGCACAAGGCAACTAGAAACTCGATCATTATCCAGACTCCTCAGACGGCAGAAAAGAAAAAAAGGAAGGGGAATAAAGGCCTCTAACTGGAAATGCACAATTGTCGATTTGACGTGCCTTGTGTTCATCTGGAAGTCATAAAATGTCTTTCCTTTCTTTACTTAAAGGCACTCCTGTAATCAAAATTGTAAGATTTGTTCTAAATCATTACTAACCGAGGAGTCCCATTGGAATGGAAGCAAGTAATATAAATGGAATTGATTAGCAGCAGCAACATGCAATTCTATATCGAAGAAGCTCTGGATTTGCATACAGAGAAGTGCACCGGATTAGGCAAGGTACCAACCTTATTGATCTGCTCTTGAGAGGGAGAGAGGTTCTCGTAGTTCTTGTACTGCTTCAATCTCGTCTCCCTGTACTTGTCCCTAGTGTAATTGAGCCTCTCCCATGGAATTCCTTGTATATCCTTACCGTTCCTGAACTCTACAGCAGTTGTGTCAGTGCTGGACTTGTTCTGCAGCAAAACAAGGCGCAGCGATTTGAATTCCATGCATCAGAACACAATCGTAGCAAAACAACAACACATAGAGCAAAAAAATGAAGAATTGAACTCTCTGATCAGGGCATACAAACTCCAAATCGTCTTCAAAGTCGGAGTCCAGAGACTCCATCTCGTCCCTCTTCTGAAGCTGCGGTTCCTCTTCGACATCGGAGTCGTAATCCTCATCAACAACGTACTCGAGGTCATTGTTATGCAGATGAGCCATTACTATTCTACAAACAACTGCGCCAGACAGCTCAATTTCATGAGTATACAGAGACATACGGCAGCAAAACGATTGCAGAGGATGAGAAAAGCACAAGATGATTGATGACAATAAACGAGCGGTACAACTCGTCTCGCACAACAAAGATATGATATATCTATACTACCACAACAAAGATATGATATATCTATACTACAGCCGAAGTAAGTCAGAATCTTACCGCTGGATTCTGACTGAAGAATCTTCAGAAACGGGAGAGCTGGCAGTCCAGACGATTTCCCCGGGAACCAAACAGAGGAAGTGATAGAAAGAGAAATACGGTACAAGAGATGGAAACTGCCGGCGAAGGAAACGGTAGCTGATACCCTGATTGAAAGAGCGATTACGGAGACAAAACAGGAAATGGACGAAAATTTGAGTCAAGGTTTAACAGAGGGAGACGAGTTATGGAAAGGCAGGAAAGTAGAAGAAGATGGAAAAATGGCAATGGAGAAGAGGGTGTTGCAGAATTAGAGCGAGGGGAAGGGGAAGCCCAGCCTTGGTGCTTATAAATTGGAGAAGGCGGCCAAGCGAGGGAGGGAGGGGGGTTACGAAAGGAACGGTACGGGGTGGGGTCCACTGCCACCGCGGCGCGCTAACGAAACTCTGTACCAAACTCCAAACTAGGGTAATGCGTGTTTGTTTGTTACTCAAAATGTGTGGTCTTTAATTTTTGGAGGTCTGATTGATGAAATTTCCATCTTCTCTAATGCAAGTTTAATTGATTTTGTTGCACGTTAACTGCATCCGTGGAACGAGATGCCAGGAACAGATGGAGCGAAGTAGAATCGTCCAAGTGATGTGGGGTTTTACAACAAGCTCTTATACAATCGGTTCAGATCCGGTTCTTAACACTCATTTTTAAGAAACAATCCCAAAATAAACATGTTTTTAAAAAAAAATCCCAAAATACACACGTTATAAAAAAATTCATAAAATACATATGTTTGGGCTTCACCGCGGCAGGACCAAAGCGGTGAACGCATCACCGCGGTCGACGGCCATGGTGAATGCCTGACGTAACACTGAAACTTCAAACAAACGTAACTTTGCGCTCGGTTATCCAATTGTAGTGAATTTTTTTTTATTTCATATAACTTTTCAAGATCTTTCAATTTGCAACAAGACTTCATCTCAAATAAATATCGTTTGTTACTCCGAACGAGCAATTTTTCGATTTTGCCAAACTTTGGAAAGACATAACTTTTAGCTCCTCAATCCGAACGTCCTAAAGTTTTTTTTTATTGCGCATAACTTTTTAAGAAATACAAATTTTACTAGGAAATAATTTTTAAAAAAAGAAATATTATTGGGTAAACGAGATTTTGTAAATAACTTTGCCTTTACTTTTCACAAATCCACATACTTTCCAAAATTATGGTTATAATCAAAGTTGTAGTACTTCAAAAGTTATGCAAAATCAAAAAAGGTTTCATGACATTCGGATTGTGGAGCACAAAGTTATGGTCTTCCAAAGTTTGTCAAAATCGAAAAATTGCTCGTTCGGGGTAGCAAATGAATTTTTTTGGGATGAAGGCTTGTTGCAGATTGAAATATCTTGAAAAGTTATGTGGAATAAAAAAAAATTCGCTACAATCGGATAACCGAGCACAAAGTTACGTTTGTTTGAAGTTTCAGTGTTACGTTAGGCATTCACCGCGACCGTCAACCGCGGTGATGCATTCATCGCTTTGGTCTGCCGCGGTGAATGCATTCACTGCGGTTGACAACGGCAGTGATGCCCAAACATGTGTATTTTGGGAAGTTTTTTTATAACGTGTGTATTTTGGGATTTCCTCCCCTTTTTTAAGGTTTTTTATTGCTGATAATGCATTAGGTAGTCAAACATTGATAATCCTGATGCATACTCATTAATAATGACATCAACTACATTACTAACTTAGACTAAAAGATTAATTAATCATAGTTATATCATTAAACAAAAACCAAACATTTAAAAAATAATAATGCCACATAACATTATTAAAAAACTTGTAGAACACCGTTAATAAAAACAGACAAATACCTAACTAGCATGTGGTATTTGGCGAATCAGGCGGGTTTGGGCTGGGTTCAATCGGGTTTGATTTCAAACGCGTTGCGGGTTCATCGGGTTGCGGGTTTATTGGGTTCGCATTCATCGGGTTCGGGTTCAAACGGGTTGCGGGTTCATTGTGTTCGAGTTCAATCGGGTTGCGGGCAAATTGGGTTACGGGTTCATCGGGTTTTGGGTTGGACGGGTTATGGGCGGATCGGGTTGCGGGTTGTTCGAATCACCGTATCGAGTAACTTACTTCTTACTCGTTACCAACTTACACATTTTATTACACTAATTTAAAATATTTTTCTCAATCTTTAACCAATTTCTTTCTACCTCGTATATATACTTAACTTTTTATAAAAAAAACTAGTCAAAATGTTGAATCAATTTATATGACTTTCAAACTTGTTATGTAATTAATCGTAATTGGTAAATTACACAAGCTAATAGTAATGGTTATATCAACATTTGCAACCAAAAGACACCATTAATTATTTATTTGGTATTTTAATATTATTTCAGTAGTAATTTGATTAAAGTATCTCGTTTAGTATAACCATGCAAATATGGTATTTGGCGTGTGGTAAAAGGGGTTATTTCGAAATAACTCATTGCCCTAATCACTCAGTAAATTGTTGCCAAACGAGTTATTTGTAAAATTGTTCGAATTACCCTAAAAGTTGAACCATTAAAGATTAACTATCTAATTTAGTAAAATTGTTGTGACTTCAATCATAACTTACTCAATAACATATATCATCTACACTTAGCCTTACTCTCAATCGACAATATTAAATTAACATATGTTGTTGATCGTATACCCTAAACTATCAATATATTATACACTAACAACATACCCTAACCATACATCCACCTAATCACTTCAGTAAATTGTTGCCAAACGAGTTATTTGTAAAATTGTTCGAATTACCCTAAAAGTTGAACCATTAAAGATTAACTATCTAATTTAGTAAAATTATTGTGACTTCAATCATAACTTACTCAATAACATATATCATCTACACTTAGCCTTACTCTCAATCGACAATATTAAATTAACATATGTTGTTGATCGTATACCATAAACTATCAATATATTATACACTAACAACATACCCTAACCATATATCCCTATGAGTTGTGATTTTGCTAGTATAGTTAATTTAAAGTGAAATTCATACTTTAATTTTAGAACCATAGATGAAAAAGTGATATTTACTATACCCTAACCATATATCCTATACTCTACACCATATACCATGTACCCTAACCACGTACCATAAACATAAATTAAAAAGGGATCTCATACCATTAAAGATTTTAAATGACTTCAAGTGAACATATGTTAATAAGAAACTTAGAACCATCAAAACCATCAATACCTTATACCCTAACCAAATACACCCATAAGCCATCTGTACCTTATACCCTATACCTTAACCATATACTTTATACCCTAAACAACGAACCATCAAAATTTACTTATCAAGTTTAATATAATTGTTGGCTCATATTCACCTGCACATAAATTTTCCATTCCAAAGTTCTCATCCAAACATCCCTCTCATTTTCCATTCCAAAGTGACCTCGCAACCCGATTAACCAAAATTTTCAAACCCGCAACCCTACTGAGTTATTGCAATCGTAAGACTTAAAATTCCCCTCCTTCTTTCTCCTTCCATAAATTAGAAACACTCAATTTTCCCTCCTCTTTCTCTTCCATAAAATTGAAAGAACCAAATTTTTCTCCTCTTTCTCTTCCATTTGAAGAACCAAATTTCCCTCTTCCTTCCATAAAAAGTTGAAAACTCAAAATTTTTCTCCTTATTTCTCTTTAATAATCAAAAGAACCAAACCTCTTCACTTCCCACAAATCAAAACCACCAAAATTTCCTATTTTTCTTTTCTAAAAAATTGAAAAAAACCTAATTTCCCCCTTCTTTCTCTTCCCAAAAAGTTGAATACACCAAAATTTTCCTATTCTTTTAAAAGTATCAAATTACCGAATATATTGTTTTTACTTTATTTATATTTAATTGATAACTTTTATTGAATAGTTAAATTAACCAAAAATATAATTTATATATTATATTAATATTGTCCATGATCTCAATTATTAATTATTCATTATTATTTTTCACATTGGGCTGATTTTATATTTTATATTTACTTTTTTAATTTTTTTAAAGAACTTAGTGTTGAAGTGACCTTCATGTATCAATTTTTGTAATTTTCTTAAAATACATAATATCAAGTGAGATTCATATTTTTAAATTTCCTATACGAAATGAAGAAATAATTTTACCTGAGTTTAGAATGAAAACTCTATTTTGAAAAACTATGTATTATATAATATAATAATTATTCAAGTGGATTAGGTGAAGTTTGGGTTGAGTCAATCGGGTTCGGGTTTAATTGGATTGCGGGTCAATCGGGTTCGGATTAATCGGGTTGCGATTCAATCGGGTTGCAAGTCAATCGGGTTGCAGATCAATCAGGTTACGGGTCGGGCGAATTACGGATTGTTGAATTTTAGTCAATTTGGGTTGCAGTCGGATTGCGGGTGGGGTTGGTCGGGTGGGTTAATCGGTTCGGATTCTGTTTTAACACCTACAGGGTCGGGTTTGGGGTTGGGTCGATTATTGGGTTGGTTTGCGGGTTGGGTAGGGAAGGGTGACATGGCGGGCAAATTTGACGTGGCGGGTCGGGTAGTCAATTTTTAGGGTTAAAATATGCTGATTGTGATATTCTTTTAGCCACGTCATCACTTAACGGCCGTATTTGGACTGTGCAACTAATTTAAGTGACTATAAATGGAATAAATTAATTTGAGTGACAAACATGATATTTTATAGCAATTCGAGTGATTAGACTTGCAATTAAGCGGATTTTATAGATAAGGATTTTGTACCTATTCCGAAATTTGTATGCTATCCTTTTCTTACAAATATCTCAATTAAATATGATTTTAATCCTT